CATGTAGAACTGTCAGTACTTGCCTCACATGCGGGCAAATTATCACTAACAATCAAGCTGCTAGAAACAGAAGGAAAATAGATAAAGACAATCTATTCAAAACTTAACTAGGTAACTGAAATTGAAAGTAGTCCTATGAGTGAAACAAATAAAATGGCACCCTTGAAGTTCTGCCACCTTGGGTGGTACCAATATCTGGTCTAGTCCATGGACTAAGGTGCTTGTAGCTGAAGGACCAAAAAGACACTTCTTTATTTAACCACCTTCACGCCCTGAAGTTGCATCAGTTGGGAGTTTGGAGCTCTCTCAGATCTTGTGACATGAATCACATGAATCATAATATGATCATATAAGTTTATTATTTTACTGAAGATCCTGGAAAAACGCACACACCACTGTTTCCCCCGCTCTTATCAAGATTACAAGCTACTCAAATTTGTATGATGTAAAACAAATAGTCTGGACACATAAAATGAAAGGCATCCAGGTCCAGAGCAGCTACAAAGGAAGATTGTGGAGTTCTGCTATCGACTTAGAATTTTTGATAAAGTAAACAAAACATACAGTTATAGTTTTCCTACTCTTTTTTTTTATACCTTCAAAGTAATGAAACAAAGCAACAACACAGAGCAGGATAGTGATTGCACCTGCACTCTAAAATAAAAATAGTTTTTAAAAAAACACATAAAATATCTGGCAGCAAAAGTTCCTGTTTCATTACAGCAAATAATTTAACACTGAATAATAGAATTACAATTTTCACTGCTCAAAAACATCCCTTAAATGTACGGGAAGTGTATAAATTTATCATGCAGTAACTGGCTTTTCTAGTTTTTAAATGTTACACTATTCTGCTGAATCTTGAGGTGTTTAATTCTCTAAAATGTTTTAAAAATATTTTCCTGGTGTTATAAAATGATGGATTCAAAAATGTTGAAGTTACATGTGTTGACAATAATTTTACAGCAGATGTTATAAAATATGTTACGTTCCTGTGTTTTACAGACATATTCTCTTATCGTAAAAAGCACATAAAGAAATCTGTATTTATTTTTAACTATCACACAGCAGTAGAGTAGCGCCCTCTGCTGCTGATCAACGACACCAGCTGCAGAACTGCGGTATATTGTAATAGAGGAAGCAGTTTGTATTAATAA